GCCTAAACAGGGCAGAGACCAGGCTAAGAATGTAAAGGTCACAGAGAAGCCAGTCTGTGGATAGTGCTGAGAAGAGAATAATCTGATTCAAGTGCTATATCCTGAGCATTCCAAACCTAAACTGTAACCTGTTATCTCCTTAATAAATCCCCCAATTGTGTTGTTCGTGAGCTCTTTATGGCAACTGCAGCAAATTATCAAATCCAAACGAGAGTCAAGATTGTGGTGGGATGGATTGTTGATGTCAGAATTGGTAAATAGGTTAGAGGATGCTGGAGTGTCTCTAGAATCACGAGAATTAGACTTGAGCTGATACTGATGATAATCTTTTCTTGCCTCCCCATTGCAAAATTAAAGGATGTCAGACACAATTCTATTTCATTTTTTATGGGGCATTCAAGGAAATAAACATGTGATGTCCATTTAAAAATCTTTATATGAGTTTTCATAATAGCAAAGAAGTGGAAGTAACCAAAATGTGCATCAATTGGTGAACAAACAAAATATACAATGGAATTCAATAATCAAAAAGAATGAAATGATGCTACAAGAATGGATGAACCAAGGAGCTCTGGTGGCCTAGTGGCAAGAAGCTGCACTGCAATACCAAAGGTTGTTGTTGTTGCTGTTGTTGCTGTTGTTGCTGTTGTTGCTGTTGTTGTTGTTATGTGCCGTCAAGTCGTTTGTAACTCCTAGAGACCCTATGTACAATAGCCCTAAACCCTGCTCTATCCTGTGCCAATCGCATTGCCTCTGACACACCCATCCTGATTACCCCAGACACTGAATCAATCCATCTCATAGAGGGTCTTCCCCTCCTGCACTGTCTCTCCACCCTACCAAGCATGATGTCCCTCTCCAAGGACTTGTCTCTCCTTACAACATGTCTAAAGCATGTCAGACGAAGCCCCAGAATCCTTGTCTCCAAGGAGTAGCCTGGTTTAACCCTCTCTAGGATGAATCTGTTTGTTTTCCTGGCAGTCCATGGTACATTCAATACTCTTCTCCAGCACCACAGCTCAAAGGCATCAATTCTCCTTCCATCCTCCCTAGTCATTGTCCGACTCTCTGATGCATAACAAGTGATTGCAAAAACCATGGCCTGTATCAGGCAGACCTTAGTCTCCAGAGAGACACCGTTGCTCTTGAGTACTTTAGAGAGGTCCCTAACAGCAGACTTTCCCATCGCGATGCACTTTTTGATTAACTGACTGCTGGTGCCAAGAATGTTGACTGTGGAGCTGAGCAAACTGAAGCTGTGAACAATCTCAATCTCTTCGCCATCCATCCTGATGCTACCGATCGGTCCAGTGGTGAGAATCTTTGTCTTCTTGACATTGAGCCTCAGTCCATATTGAAGGCTGCAGTCCTTGACCCTCTGCATTAAGTGCATGAGGTCCTCCTCAGTTTCAGCGAGCAGGGTTGTGTCATCTGCACGGTTCAAATCCACCAGATGCTCTGCTGGAGAAGGAGAGGTAATCAGAATTAGACTTTAAACTGATATCATATTGCTCTTTAGAATTTGGGGAAAGTCCCTAACAGCAGCCTTTCCCAATGCTATATGTCTATAGCTCTCCTGACTGCTGGAACCAACAATGTTGAGTGTTGACCCAGGAAAGAGGAAATCATTGACAACTTTAATCATTTCTCCATCTCTTATGATGTTGATTATTGGCCCAGTGGTGAGGATTTTTGTTTTCTTGATGTTGAGATGTAATCCATATTGAAGTCCTTAATAGTCTGCAGCAAGCACCTCATGTCCTCCTCACTTTCAAGAAATAAGGCTGTGTCATCTGCATAACACAGATTGTTGATGAGTTGTCCTCTAATCCTGATGCGGCACTCTTCTCCATGAAGTCCAACTTCCCTAATAATTTGCTCAGCATACAGATTGAATAAGTATAGCGAAAGGATACTTCCCTGACTTCCTTAGCTGTAACCTTTACAGAAACTCCAAAGCTGCTAATAGTTGAACCACTGATGTTTCACTTTGCAAATGGAAGTGTAACTTTTATATCACAAGGGACGCCTTCCTCAGTTATGTTGTTGTTATCGTTTAGTGTCTTTGAGTTGATACCAACTCTATGTATAACAGAGTTGCTCAAATCTTTGTTATCCTCACAGTTTCCACTGTGTTGTCAATCCAACTTGTTGAGGAACTCCCTCTCCTTTCCTGATACTCCACCTTTCCAAGCAGGGTGTTCTGCTCCAAGGACTGGCATCTCCGGAGAACATACTCTATGTATATGAAATGAAGTGCCACCGAGCTTGCCTCCAAGAAGCACCTGGCTCACTTCTCCCAAGATGGATTTGTTTGTTCTTCTGGCACTCCATGTACATTCAATACTCTTTGCCAACACAATTCAAAAGGATTAGCAACTTGGTCTTCCTTATTCATTGTCCAACTTTCACATACATATGAAGCAATTTAAAATACCATGGCTGGGGTCAGGCACATCTTAGTCTTTAAATTGGCTTCTTTACTCTTTTGTACTTTAAAGATATCCTTGACAGTAGAATTTCCCAATGCAACACATTGTTTGAGCCACATTCTCCTTCATCTAGCTCTTTTAGTTCTGGCAGTTATACACTTGCACACCCACCTTCACACACACACACACACACACACACACACACACACACACACCAGCTAGCCGCCAAAAGCCCTCAGCTCTGCTTACAAGAGCTGATAGTTCTCAGCCAGCTCTGCCTCTGGTCAGTTACTGGTTCTTATCTCTGATGTTACCACTGCTATGTCTTGGTCTCAGTCTCACTCTGTCTTACACAGCCCACAAGCCTGTGCTGCCCTTTCTGCTTCTCCTTTCTTGAAGGTAGTAAGGTTCTGTTTCCTGCCTCTGAATCTATTCAATTTAAACCTGGAAGAATGGTAGAACTAATAAATCTCTTTGTTAGTTTACACATCTTGTGTGCATTTTCTCAGTCAAAAGACACTACCTTACTTGCATTATTAATAAATTACCAATACCCCTGGTGAAGTCAAAAGACACTACCTTACTTGCATTATTAATAAATTACCAATACCCCTGGTGAAGTCACAAATACCTTACATGGGCAGTCTCCTTTCATGCAATTAACTACTTCTGAAAACCCACCAGAGGGTCAGCTATGGATTGGTTCGGACTCAATAGTACAAAAGAACAACAACAAAAACAACCCAGCTATGTGGTGAAAATGAAAAGATTATGTCTAGAAAACTACATTGAATAATCCATATTAGTGTATCTATCCTGAAATGCAATGATATCAGTGACAAAGTAATATCCATACAAATAGAAGGAAGACATATTAATATGATTATTAGCCAAATTTATGAACCAACCACTAAACTCAAAGATGAAGAATTTAAGGATTTCAACCAACATTCACATCTGAAATTGATCAAATAGAAAATGAAGATACATTAATATTAACAAGTGATTGGAATATAAAAGTTAAAAATAAAGTGTGACTGGTATATGAACTTGGAAATAGAAATGAGGCTGAAATTCCATTTACCAGTGATTTACTCATTGTAAATGCCTTTTTAAAAGATATAGATAGCTGGCTATACACATGGACCTTATTTCATGGAAGACTACAGCTGTAAAAAGTGACAGTGGAAAAGCTCAATACCACAGTTTAGAACAAGAGGAAGGGCCAACAGTGAAATAGAACACCAATTGCTTATTTGCAAGTTCAAATTGAAACAAGCCCACTAAGGTCAAAAACAATCTTGAATATTTTTCATCTTAATTTAGAACTTATTTCCAGAATAGATTTAGTGCACTGAACATTAATGACAAGAGACCAGATGAATTAGGAGATGACACCAAGGATATTTTACATGAAGAAATAAAAATTATTAAAACAAAAGAAAGGAAGGGCCAAAATGAGTATCAGAATAGACATTTTGCTGTCTGAATAGACAATTTGCTTTGGGATGTAGAAAAATTAGAAAGAAAGGGGGAGGGGGAATGATAAATCAAAGAGCCGAAGAGAGTATGTCAAAGGGCAGCTCAGTAAGACAAAGCAAAGTAGTATAATGAAATATATATATTTGTAGATTTAGAAAAACAAATGGGGAAATGATTAGCATTTCTCAAGCTGAAGGAGATGAAGAAAAATTTGTGATGCTGAAGGATTCTATGAGCAAAACACTAAATGATACAGGAAGTATTAAAAGATGATATAAGCTATATACAGTCATTGTACCAAAAAGGAATTGATCAAAACTTAATCCCTTCAAGAGTTATCATATGATCAAAACCCAATAGTATTGAATAAAGAAGTTCAAGAATTGATAGAATATTAGCTGAAGTGTTTCAGTAAACAGATGCAACCCTAGACATGCTCATTCCTCTATGCCAGGAAATTTGGAAGACTTGACTAAAAGACTGGAAGAGATCGATATTTGTGCCCATCTCCACCTCCTAAAAAAGAGGTGATCCAACAGAATGCAGAATTTCCCCAACAATATTAATGTCATGTATAAGTAAAATATTGCTGGAGACTATTTAAAAATTGCTAGAGCAGTAAATCTACAAAGAACATCCAGAAACTCAATCTGAATTCAGAAGAGGCCATTAAATGAAGGACATCATTGCTGATGTCAGATGGATCTTGACTCAAAGTAGAGAAAGAAGTAGCTGTTTGAATAGAACAAGAGAAGACTACATGGTTTAAAATTAGGAAAAAAAGATTAGGAAAGTGTACATTAGGGTTGAATCCTCTCACCATACCTATTCTATCTGTGTGTGAAGCAAATAAGAGAAACATGACTATATGCAGAAAGAATGCATTTGTAAGCATGTTATACATTATATTTTTTTTTTATAAATACAGCATTGGAAGCATTTTTTATTCTTAAAGAGTAGGAACTATCAATCAAATTTAAGGGTTTAAAAAAGACTAATGATAGCAATTCTTGATCATTATCAGTGACTGACTTTGATCTGTTTTTTTAACCTAACAGAATTTAAATTAATCATTTCCTGAACGAAATGCAGTTTCAACTGACCCTTTTTGTGTACCTTGGTAAGTAATAATTGTCAAAATTTCTTTTCTGCCGAAGTTAAATTATCTTAAAATATTTAACAAAAATAATGGTAAGTCATGTTAAATTCTTTCCTCTCTGTTGCTATATATCTACCAGCTAGCAAGCACTGATTCAGTGGTTAAACCCTTGACTGCTGATAGAAAAGTTAATGGTTGAAACACTTTACAGCTTCCATGCAGATTAAAGCCTTGGAAATTCGAGAGGGTGTTCCACTCAGTCCTAGGGGTTCTCTATGAGTTTATTTTGCATTTACACAGCTATTGTGTTGAATTGTGTGAAGCAACTGGAAATTCCACTCAATCATATTTTGTATCTACACATAGGTACTACTAACTTAAAAGTGGAGGCTCAAATCCATCCACACAATGGCATCATAGAAGAAAGTCCTAGAATTCTGCTTCCATTAAGATTACAATGAAGAAATGAATAGAATTCCAAAATCTCTGTAGATGTTCACTGAAATAAAAAATAAATAAATTTTAAAAAAATTACAATGAAGAAAAGTCCCTGGTGTAATTCTACTTACATGAGATTGCATCAGTGGAAATGGGAGGGGAGTGCGGGGGGGATTGCAGTTTTTAAAGCAATGTTATCATCAGTGAATAGTGCTAATAAAACACTTTCAGATTCTTAGTTGCCAAATATAATGCATTTGGGGTTTTTTTAAATTATTCTGCTTGGAAAAAAAAATAAAATTACTCTGCTTTGAATGTAGCAATTGTCCCAGGGTTGAGATCTTAACAAAGATTTTATAGGCACTGTTTCCTCCTCTACATAAACAGCAACTCCTGGGCTAAAAGACCAAATTCTCCATGCCTCTGCTGTCTTTAATAAGCTGAGAATAATTTGTATTAGTCATAGAAAAGCTGTTTCCAACAATTACTCCCTTTGATCCTGATTTTTCTGTAGCTACAGCAGTTCTGCCTTTGAGGACTGGAGTAGTCACTAGGTTTCCTAGACTCTTCTCTTCAAAAAGACATACTCAGTTTCATCAAGCAAGCAAAACAAGAATCTGTGCCTTTGTTGTTTTTTCATTGCCTAAGCCTGTGGGAGTTTCCCAGCTAAATTTGCTGGTCATTGAGGAAAAAAAGATTGGCTCCAGATGGTGAGCTGCTTGTCCATTCCCTCTTGAAACTCCTCGCCTTGGCATCATGAGCCACAAAGCAGTGACAGCAGATTCCTGGGATCCATCTGGGATTCTCAGATTATTCTCAGCACCCCAGATGAGGCATTGACCTGAGCTCCGTCAGTCAGGGAAGAGTGTTATGATCTACATACCCTGGACATTCTCTCTGGGACTCAACCAGTCTCCAAAATCAGAAGAGATCACTGAAAGTCATTGTGTTCTTCTCTCCAGTCTGTCTCCATGTCCTCCAGTTCTAAGCCAACTCTACGATTGCTCTGAGAGCCCTTCCAGGCTCAGACAGCCCTTCTCTCCTAAAGAGATCTTCAAAACAAACTGTAAAAAAGAAAGATCTTACTGTAATAGATGGTAGATTTCTAAACCCAAATGTAGCATGAACTGGCCTGCATCCCTCAAGTGGCCCATTATCATTTGGTCAATTACAATCTGTGGCAGATAAATAAACAACAGAGGGAGGTACATTTCCTAGTCCTGCCCGTCTTCATGATCGTTGATGTTCTGGAGTCCGTTGTTGTAACCCCTACACCTTTTGAATGCCTTCCAACCTAGGAGGCCTATTTCCAGCACTCTATCAGTTTTTCTGTCATGATCCATAAAGTTTTCATGGCCTAATTGTCAGAAGTATCTGGCCAAGTTTTTCTTCCTAGTCTATCTGGATACTGCTGAAAATTTCCCTCTTTGCTAGTATCTGAACTATCAGAGCCATAGCTTCCAGCATCAGAGCTACAAACAAACCACAGCCAACTAAAGTATCATTTCATAAGTGATGGATAGCTGAATTATCAACTAGAAAATCCACACACTATCACTGTATGTATAGTTTTAAATACATATAACATGTATCCACACACATATACTTAATATATAATTCTATCTGGTGGCCTACTAATAAGAAGCTGCCCTGCAATCCCATGCGATTTGAATCTACCAGCTGCTCTGTGGGAGAAGGATGGGCAGACTCCCCCCATGCAAGTCACTACCTCTGGGAACATGCTGGGGGGTCAAGTATTGGTTGGTTCCAACTCAATGGCACAAAACACCTCTCTCTCTCTCTCTCTCTCTCCCTCTCTCTAAGTGTGAGTGTGTGTATCAACTCAAGTCAATGTGGTAGAGCCATAACCAACTCATAGCTGACCCTCCAGTGGGATTTTGGAGGCTATAAATTTCACCTGAGGAAATTGTCCCTCTTTCTCTCTCAGAGCAGCCAATAAACTTGAATTGTCAAAGAGGCACTGACTGGATTAGCAGCAGAACTCTCTATGGGCTACACTCCTAGAGCCCCCCTTATGTGATGTGGGGTGGTGCATGTGTGCCGTGTGTGTACACACTCACACAGGAGTTCTGGAACCGAGTGGGTATGGAAGTTGCACTATAACCCAAAGGCAGGAGATTTAAATCTACCAGCTGTTTCTTGGGAGCTAGATAGGCAGTCTCCTCCTGTGCTATTTCTAGCCTCTGGGAACCTGCCAGAGGACCAGGTATGTGTCTGTTCTGACTCAATGACCATGTAAGTGTGTAATATATACTTATTTAACGAAGGGAGCCCTGGTTTTGTCATCCATAGAGAGAGTTGCACATTAAAAATAAAGACTAGGCAGTCTGCTTCTATAAAGAACTCGGCCCTTAGCTGCTCACTGAAAGGTTGTTTGTTATTGTGTACCATTGAGTCAGAAGCGACTCCTAGCTGACCTTTCAGTGGGTTTTCAGAGACAGTGAATCATATAGGAGTTGACTGCTCATCTTTCTGCAATGGAGCAGCTGATGCATTTGAACCATGTACCTTTGCACTGGCAGCCCAACTCCTTATCCCTAAGCCACTAGAACTCCTGAAGTGAAAGGTTGGAGGTTCACACCCAACCAGAGGTACCTCAGAAATAAGGCTTCATAATCTGCTTCTGAAAAATAAGGTTTTTTTTTTTTAAAAAAAATCCTGTGGCATAGAATTTTACTCTGTTACAGGGGGTGTTGCTTTAAGTGGGAATCAGTTCAACAGCAATGGCTTTAGTAGAAAAGACGGCTTACAAAACTCTCAAATCCTAAGAGAAAGAACTTGAGACTGAATAGGTTCTAAAGCCAGTGAACTGGCTATTGACAAACCAGGAGAATTTAGTACATTGCCCTATTGTTGATGTATCTCTTCTCAGTCTGCTGATCTTTTCATCAGTGCTCACTGCAATTATTAGTCCATTAACATATCAAACATATATCCTCATTAAGTCTTACAAACACAGGAAATGTGCTTTTTTTTTAATGCTATAATCACTGACATTTTAAACTATTATTGCTATGCTAGGTCCCAAATAAAGAAGTTTAAGTCAATAAACAAAAAAGAATGTGGTTCGATGAAGCAGGTCTGGGCAACATTGGTGGGTAGTCTGTGTGGAGATGTGGGGCTCACCCAAGGTCTATGCCTCACTGCCTGTTCAAAGCCACGGCCACTCAGAGAAGAAAGATGAGCTGCCGGTCTTCTCCTGTGTGACTCTGAGCCTCAGAAACCCAGTGAAAGGTCAGCTGGAGGTCGCTTCAGACTCACCGGCAGTGAATTTCACTTAATCTATACGGTGCGCATTTTAAGAGTTAAAGAGAGCTAAAGATAAAGAAGTACAAAAAAACAAGTATTGGTCTCAGAGGTTGGGGGAATAGCCTGCAAAATGCAAGCCTTATCTAGCAAGCATTCTTTACACTATGTTGTAATCACCAAATGAAATTTAATATATAAATGTATATGTGTGTGTTTACATTCTCTAAAACACAAATATGAATGATGTAAGACTCACATATTTTTTTAAATTAGTAGTGAATTATTAGGTAAGTCAGTTATCAAATAGTTCTAGAAAAGGATGCTTCATTTTATAGAGGAGTTTATCCTGAAGTTTTCTTTTTTAAATCTTTTATTGATATTTTAATGAAAGCTTATAAAGAACTTGGATTTCCATTCATTCATCGTTGCACATTTCCTCCCTGCTACCCCAAAGTTTGCTTTTTTAAAAAAAAATAGTTCTTTCATTATTATACAGTCCCTTCCCCAGTCCACTTTACTCTGCAGCTTTTATTCTGGACTCTTACATGTCAATAATACCTAATCATATATTCCTTTTATACAGTTCTCGTCCTCATCTGTTTCAATGTTGTGTATATTATTTGTCCTCTCTTTTCTTCATTTCTCCCAACCCCCATGTCAGTCAATTCTGTCTTATAACAGTAGCATTATGCAGTATTTGTCCTTTTGTGCGTAAGATATTTCACTCAGAATTATGTCCTCCATTGTGACCCATTTATATAATATTTCATGAGTTCTTTGTTTTTAAGTGCTGCTTAATATTTCATTGTGTGACTATACCACCGTTTCTCTAACCATTCATACTTGGGTTGTTTCTAGCTCTTTGCTATTATGAACAAAGCAGCAAAAAACATGCTGTGCACTGAAGTTTTCTCTTAATGACCTTTTTGTCATGGAGTCAGAACTGACTCCAAGCTGACCTTCCAGTGGGTTTTGCAAGGCTATCATTCAAACTGCCATAGGTATATAAAACATCGTAATGGTTACCCATTGTGGACAGTGTTTGGAAAAGCTCCCAGATTGATTCAGGTTTGGAAGCAGTAGTGGCGTCCACTTGCTTAAATCACATGCCTCTGGAAACTCTATGAACATAGAGAAATGATGCTATAGAACAGGTTCACGTCTTTTGTTCATAGGGATGCGAAGAGTCATACTTGACAGCATTTAACCATTGCTAAGTGAGACTAGTGTTATATTTTGGAGAAAACATCCTTCTAAGTTGTGCAACACTCTTCTGCCAATTTGCTATACTAAGTTAATCTGGGTTTGCTGTGATGCTGAACCTTGTGCCATAGGGATGTCAAATGTCATAACGGTTGCCCAAAGTGGACAATGTTTGCTGGAGCTCCCAGTTTAAGATGTGTTTGGAAGCAGGAGTGGCATCCACTTCCTAAGCCACATGTCTATGGAAACTCTATGAATTTGGAGAAATGGCGATTGTTCTAGAAAGGCTTCAGGTGTTTTGTTCATAGGGTTGCTATGAGTCATACTCGACTCTACAGCAATCAATAACAACATCAATCAAACAGGAGGAGATTCCCTGGAGAAGCTGGTGAATTCAAACCATCTACCTTGGACTTGTCAGTACAACTCCTTCTCCACTAAACCACCAGGTCTCAGACCCTGTAGCATAATTTTTAGTAATATTCTATTTTTCAGGTACATGCCAGTTTTGAAGAACACATGAATTATCTAAAGAGATAAGCATTTTTAGTCTCTGATTCTATTCCAACCTATTGTTGATGCAATAATCTGGCAGTTGAAAACTATCCAGAAAGGATTTTTCAGAGTCTGTGTTGAGGCATGAAAGTTCAACTACTTGGGTTTCAAGATATATTTTTTTTTTTCAAGAAGCTTATATTTTAAAAGAAATTCAGATTTTTACTTATGTGAATAATGGTTCAATTTCTCTAAGTTCTGGAACAGTTCGATTGCTGAGAAGCACACATCTTATTAAAACAAGTTTGGCCAAGTCAAGTTATAAAAACATGTTAAATCTCTAAGCCAACAATAGCAGTAAAAGAATTCAGGATGAAACTTGTCTAAAAGAATAAATCACTCTACAGGAACGCTTAGCTAATCCACGTGTAACATCAGCACACCATCCAAAGAAAAGAATATAGAATTTCCCAAATTTATTTCTCAGTATTCTTTTCAAAGAAAACATTTTATTGTGGTAAAATACATAATAAAAAATGTCATATTAAAAGTGTACTACTCAGTAGCATGAATTACATTTGCCATGTTGTACAATCATCACCACTACCTATTTCCAAAAGTTTTGCATCACTTCAAACAGAAACTCAATGCCCTTTTGCAAGAATTCTCCATTTTCCATTCCCCCAAGTCCATTAGCCTCTAGTCCACATTTGTCTCTACGCATTCAGACATTCTGGATATTTCATAAAGTATGTGGCCTTTTGTGTCTGACTTATTTGACTCGCCATAGTACTTCCAGTGTTGTGTCCTAACATGTATGTTATCTGAACTTTACTTCTCTTGATGACTTGATAATGTCATCACATTTTATCTGTTCATTTGTTGATGGATGTATGGGTTGTTTTCACTTTGAGACTATTTCAAACAATTCTGCAATGAACATTATTAATATGCAACTATCTAAGTTTTTGCTTCAATGAGTTTAGATACATACTTAGAAATGAAATTGCTGAGTCATGTGGTATTTGTACCCTTAATTTTTTTAGAAACGGCCAAACTGTATTCCACAGTAGGTACTCCGTCTACATTCCCATCAACAAGGTGTGAAGGTTACTGTTTCTCCACGTTCAGCATCATTTCTTGGTGAGCACAGGGAACATAGTTATCCTCCAGGTTAGGTGTGTTCCATCCAGCTGAGGGAACCTCCAGCCTTCACTAATGGAATCTTCATAAACAACAAAATCGTCATTGTTGTATGCTGTGGAGTCAGGACCATCTCATACCCGGCCCTTCCAGTGGGTTTTCAGAGGCTATAAATTGCATGGGAGGAGACTGCCCATCACTCTTCCCAGGAGCAGCTGGTGTGTTTGAATCGCCTGCCTTTGAGTTGACAGGGTCTTCTTAATACTAGGCCTCTAGAATGGAATAGACAACAAAACTGGAATTAAGAATCAGCAGACTGTTCACTCTCTGACTTAACCTGGTGTCTGTCAGGCCTTGTGCTGCCTCAGGCTGCTTTGCCATGGAGCTGTTTCTTTTGTGTTCAAGGTTTGCTCAGGTATGCAAGAGCCCCGGATGACTGCAGCCAGGGTGCCTGCCGTCCGCCCACTGGCGATCTCCTAGTGGGGCGTGGTGCCCAGCTCACTGCTTCTTCTACCTGCGGGCTGAAGGGAGCACAGAAGTACTGCATCCTCAGCTACCTCGAGGTGAGCTAGTCCTCCGTTTACTTGCTGGAATGTTAGTCAACCAGTTATGTCTCTGGGGTAAACCAGACCACTCTAAAGAAGACAATATTCCTTCCTGAAGAAAGGAGACACAGTCCAGGAAACCATGACTGATCAAGAAATAGGGGATAGCTTAATTTCTTTCTTGATACTTTCAAAGTTAGACAGAAAAGTGTTTTATTGGTAAAGTGTCTGGTAGTAAATTACCATATGATGTACTAGGGAAATGTGGTGGCATTGTAGATAGGGAACGTGTGGCACCTCTCTGATGATTTGAATTTGCCAGTAGCTCTGTGGTAGCAAACTGACTGTCTTCTTATGTACAAGTTACAGCAGCTGAAAAGCCACTAGAAATTCAACTGTGAATTGATTCCAGCTCCCCCCACAATCAACGAGTATGAGTAATACAAAGTGCTAGGCTACTTTAGCTCCTTTAGTGACTCCTATGGCTAGTGGTAAGAAGCTCTGCTGCCATCCCAAAGGCATGCAGTTCAAATCCACCAGCTCCTCTGCAGGAGGAAAATGGGCAATCTCTCGCCATGAGATTAAACTGCCTCTGAAAGCCTGCAACCCACTGGAAGGTCAGCTCTGAGTTGGTTCAGACTTGATCGTACACAACAGCAACAGTGTAGAAAGCAAACGCATTTGCAGTAGAAGCTCTTCCAACTCAGGGTAAACCTGTCCTGTCGTGCCCTGTAGAACTGCTTTTTAGGCCTTCCAGGGCTGTGTAACCTTTATGGAAACAAGTTGAATGTCTCATCTTTCTTCCCCTAAATAGTAGGGTCAAAGCACAGCAAAGTGACTAATGACTCCCACAAACAACAACAGCAAAACCAAAAACTCAGCTTTCACGGAAACAACAGATAAGCCTTTAAGGGAACTCTATCGCTGGTGAGGCATTCACTCATTGCAACAATCAACCACACAAAATCAAAAAGGCTGCATTTGCACGGGTGGGGGGCGGGGTGGGGGGAACAAAGCTCAGAAAGCAGAAAAGGGTAGGAAAGTAGGGCAAACAGAGCGGAGAAGAGAAGGGAGGAAGTGCGCAAGGTGTTATTATAATGTGAGCCCTGAGATGGATGTCATAAAACCAAATGTGTAGGAATGATTGAGTGGAACGCCAACTCCTTTGTAAACTTTACCTCAAAGTCCAACAGAAAGTCTGAAAGCAAAATAAAGCACACTGTGGTCAAGTCAGCTCAGACTCATAGTGACACTCCATCAGATCTCGAAAGCTATAAATCAAAACTGCAGCGGACTGCTCACCCTGCTCCCAAGGAATGAGAGGAGAGGCGCTGGTGGATTTGAACCACATACCTTTGGCTCTCAGTGACGACTGAAGGTTCCTCAGGGCCTCGAGGCCATTATGCTGAACATGAGTTCCCATTGTTCTGCCTGAGACAGAGATAGAAGGATGAGGAACTTAGATTTCATTGACACAACTCCACAGTACTTGTAAACTGTATTGTCTAAAGACTAGAAATTCCCAACTTAGTTTTGCACCATGAGCCTTGCTTCTTAAAGAGCCATTTCCTGAAAGAATCCATAGCCTTCCAGTTTGTGTCTTGGGTTTTCCTCCCTGTCATCTGGGAGCAGCACGGGCATCTGAGGTCATCAGGGTATCTTACCTGCTGGGCTGCCTGTGACAATCATGTCAGCCTCTTAAATGAGACGCTGTGCAGGAAGGAACTTGGACATAAACCTAGTGGTCAGGTGCAGGCTCTTCCGTGAATTGTTCATTTAAAGCAGTTCGTTTAGGTCTCTGGGAAATACTCCAAAACCTAATTGGTTCCAAGTAAAGGATGGTGATTATAAATAAGTGGAGACAATACGTGGGTGCTCAGCACTGTTCTGAGTTTGGGAAGTACTTGTGTAAGAAAGCCAGTGCTCTACGTGTGCTAGGAAATGACGCAGCGGGAGTTTTGTCCAACTCAAGGCCAAGTGAAGTAGATGACTCTTCAAGGGGCTTTGCTGGTCCGCACCAAGACCTGAGAGTCGTCCTCCACTCTAATATTAGAAACTTTCCAAAGCTAGCACTGCCCATCTTGTTCTTCAACCACTGCTGTCATGAGCCAACAAACTGACGATAATTCCAAGTTGGTATTTATGTTCCTCAAAGCTATTGCCGCAAAACAGAAGGAAATAAAACTGAAGAGACTTCATTTGTCTAGAAAAGAATGTAAACCACAAATTTTGAGGCTGGAAAGTACCTTAAAATACTGTCCGGTTTCACAAAATATTACAAGCTACAAGCCCTAGATAAACATTTATACCATGTGGAGGATGGTGGGTTTCTACTTATTGAGAACAATGACAATTATAAATTTCAGGCCTGGAAAGTTCCTCAAAATATTAGTCTCACAATATTTTTGCTGATGGGGTTACAAATACTCCATTCATGCAATTGGGAGAATGGCTTTTCCCTACTTATTATAGAACTGTATCTGAGTATATGTTATTCTTGTTGTTATATACTATTGGGTCCAAACTGACTCACAGCTGACCCCCTAGGGGTCACAAGGTAGGAGATTGTCACCTTTTTTCCATGAAGCAATGAGTGGATTTGAACCCTGTGCCTTTCTTTGAGTTAGCAGCACAACTCCATAGCACTAAAACCCCAGTACACCCTCAAATGGCTAATTTACCTGGATAGATTCTATTCGTTAGAATAATCATTAGGCAATTATTACAAATTACTAAGTAATAATAATAAATCATTTACTCTTTTAACAATTCTTTTTAATCTAGTGTATAAAAACAAACAAACATATCTTGGAAAAAAATATAATCAGGATGCTCCTTAGCGGAAAGGGCAGTGAAACTTTGTCTCACACACTTAGAGCATGTTGGCAGGGGGTACCAGTCCTGGGAAAAGCAGACGCTCAGCTAAAGAAGAGGCATGAAGAGATGGTTGACAGAGTGACTACATCGCAGCACATCGCTTCAGTAGGGTGGGCATTATGAGGAGGGCGCAGGAGGCAGCAAGGAATTATATACTAGGGACTATTCTGAGTAATTGAGATGTAGTAACAATCAAAATAAAAAGTGTTGTCTTTACTTAGTGTGAATTTCAATGTTGAAGACAAGAAATAAACCAATGGTATAATATAGTTTCAGGTAGTGATAGCAGGAGAAAGAAGGGTGATCTCCCTGGTGAGCTGCTACCTCAGGAAACCTGCGGGAGGGTCAGCTTGATGATATATAACAAGTAACAGCCACCTGTTGTTATTGTTATGGTTCCAACTTGATCCTGTGTAACAAGTAACACATAAAGCTTCTAACTCGACGGGGCCTAACAGATAACAATGGGTGGTTATAAGGACTTGAAATGATAGGTTGTGCTGTTATTATGTGTCATTAATAGCTGACTCTCCAGCAGCATTTCACAAGCTGTAAATCACACAAGACAAGATTTCCCATCTTTCTTCCTCATAGCATCTGGAGGATTTGAACCAGTTGGTAGTGCAACTCCCTATGCATTAGGCCCCACCAGACAGAGCTCCCTATATAAGGGCCATAGAAACAGTAAAGAGATAAAAGGTGGATGGTGGCCAGGGGATAGAGTAATGTTGGCAGTAGGTTAAGGAGCATTTCTGTAGACAAAGGGAAGGAGCAGGTGGTAGAAACAGCTGGGAGTGACAACAGCAAACGCTGGAGCAGGTGGGTGGCTCCAGGAATAGCAAAGAGCAGGTGCAGCTAGACGTAGAACAGAGCAAGAGGCAACAATGTAGAGGAAAGGCTAAGAAGGGGGTCAGGTCAGACCATACAGCACCTTGCAAGCCATGGTAAGTTCGGACAAAGAAACCACATTCATGGAGAACCTAACAGTACATTGTGCTATCAAAAATCATTTCCAGCCCAGAAAATGGTAACAAACTTCTTCCTGCTTCCTGGGAGCTTTGCAGAAGCCTTTTCAGAGTCTTACACATATTAGCTGGAGCAACTGTGCTGACCACTGGCAGACCTTTAGAACTCCATGGAGAGCGCCTCAGGACGCAATCACAAATGCATGCATTCAGTTAAGCAAAGGCAAAGGTCAGGGTTTTGTAACCTTTAAAAAAATTTGTTCTAGGCAAAACTAGTTCCAGTTCACTAATAAGACTTTCTAGGAGGGGGTGCCAGTAGCTTAGTGATAAGGAACTGCACTAGCAACAGGTTCAAATCCTCCAGAGGCTGCAAGGAAGGAAGATGAGGAATCTCCTCCTGTGTGATTGACAGCCTCTAAAAATTGCTGGAGGATCAGCTGTGAGTCAGTTCCCACTAATGACACAAAACAACAACAACATCATAGAGATTTCAGTCCCTTTAACTACCAGCTGTTGTTTGTTATGTACCGTCAAGTTGAAATCCACTCACAGCTGACCCTCCAGCTCATGGTTCAAATTCACCAGGTGCTCTGTGAGAGAAAGACGTGCAGTCTCCTCACTTGTAATTAATTCCCTCTAATGGAACGACAAGTTTGTGGGCAAGAGGGGCTCTGAGGGCAGAAATCATAGAAAGTCATGCTGCCAATCCGAAGATGACATCTCAGTGGGAGAAAGATGGGCCTTCTCCTCCAGGACACCACCTCCAGGGCAATGACTCTAAATTAGGAGTAGGAGAAGGGGTGGACCTCACTGTTACCACGTAAGTAAATATCTCCCAAGAGCCTTCGGAGCTTTTTGTACCAAAAACTATAAAGCTCTAAGGACATTTCAAAAATTAATTTCTTGCCAAAGAGTTCTTTCTTTTACTCCAGGAAGTAATTCTAACTCGAGAAATAAAGCCTAATTACTACTCTATGCTTTAAAATCATTTTCAGACCCCAACAATTAGTTCCACACAAAGTTGCATTTGGGGCCCAAATGAATAAATTTATACAATTTCTAGGTCATATTTAAATATAGTCTATTATGTTTAAGCATCTATTGATGGGGAAAATCTGGTATCTTGTAATTTCCTCTGCATTTTATTTTTAGCCAGATTGAAAGACAAATATAGCAAGGACAGCTTGTTTTTAAATTGAGATTGACAATAAGCAATTATAATCCTTTGTTTTTCATTTTAATGGTGTTGCTATCCAGAGGGAACAAAAATGCTTCATGTGTGACTCCAGATTTCCATATGATCCGTACACTCAACCCAACAGCCACACCATTGAGAATGTAATTACAAGCTTTGAACCAGACAGAGAAAAGAAGTGGTGGCAATCAGAAAATGGTATGATTGAAATCCTTTCTGAATTTTATTTCTTCATATTCTAATATAGTATCTTTCTCTCTGCATTGTCTTAATAATGTCACACCAAGGAGTTATACTGGAATGGAACAGAATCACTAAGAACTATCAAGTCCCATATAAGAGAAAAATTTCTTTTCAACTTAAATAATTTTTTAGAAATATCAAAATATTTTTAAGCAAGAATGCATCACTGTTTCTACATAAAAGGAGAAAATATCTGTACATATTTTTGTTCTTCATTGTGAAAAATAAGGAAATTTATAGGATGCTGGTAAATTAAACCTAATGTGAAATATATGTACACCAACTAAAGAAACCTAGAGGAAAACTGAGAGTAGGCATCATTGGCTTGTTCCGTCTGTAACACATAAAGTAAAAACAAACTCAATGCTGTAAAGCCAATTCCCAACCCATAGTGACCCCATAGGACAGACTAGAACTGCTTCCTAGCGTTTCCTAAACTGTAATCTTAAAGGGAGCAGACTACCACATCACCCTCTCATGGTAGATTTGAACCATCAACTTTTAGGTTAGCCATTGAGCATCTTACGTGTCTAGGTTGGGGCTGCCCATGCTCACTCATACTAGCAACAGATTCTAGTTAATTAGCTCAAAGTCCCGACCAGAACTTTGGGTTTCTCCTCAGCCTTAGAGAAGCCCCGAGATTTCCCACTCCAAAGAACAATTTCCCAACTGTGTTTTATGACAAGAGACAATAAACTTTAGTTCAAATAACTGCTAGCAGTAGTAGAAGAAAAGGATATGTTTCTTTTTATCAAGCTAAAGATTGATTGTTCAGTTAAGACTAGTATGCAAGGAAGGGGGAGCTCTGGGGGCCTAGTGGCAAGAAGCTGCACTGCAATCCCAGAGGAACACGGTTCGAATCCACCAGATGCTCTGCCGGAGAAGGAGGCGCAATATCCTCCTGTACCAGTCAGATCTGATTTGACGGTACACGCACACAAAATAATAAAAAAAATAAAAAAAGACTAGTATGCAAGGAAATAAACCCTCTTTCCACCTATGGCAAAGGTTACAGCCCTTGGTGGTATGTAATACTGCCACACAGTGGTTGTGTTTGTTACCACCAAAACGTAAGCATAGGTGCCATCAGGACAGAGCCCATTAATAGCTCTGACACAGATCTTCTAAACATGGAGTATCCAGAGTCTGGAAAAGAAAGGTTACAATTGCCATGTAATTGCAAAGAGATTTTATTTCAAAGCAAGTAGCAGTGAGGAGCTGGGGTCCCTCAAAATCACTGATTTTCTTCTCTCTGAATTTTTCTTTAGGTCTTGATCATGTCAGCATCAGACTGGACCTAGAGGCAGTATTTCAGTTCAGCCATCTTATATTGACCTTTAAGGTACAGACATCCAGGCCTGTTGCCCCTTTGTCTACGTGCAGAATATTTTGTCTTTACCTGGTATTTCACTTCTTCATTTCCTTGCAGAAAACAAGCCATCATTTCAAACCAGAATGGAGCTTTCTCATCTGACCTTTTCTTCTTGGATGGGAACAAACAAAACAAAACTGCTTGTTAATCAAAAACAAAATAATGTAAAAGACTGGAAGACACAGATAAAAAAGAAAATTCCAAATAGTGGAGTAATAAAAACCACAAGCGCTAGATAGATAATTTTCAGGACAAAAGAACAGGAAGTAAAAATTATATAGGGACATTGGAATGATTGTGGTCAAGAAAGAACGAAAAATCGAATAGTGTTTGCCAAAATTAGATGCCAGGGAAAATCCCTGTGTCATTCCTAATTACACTGATTTTTATATCAGCCTAGTAAAAAAAATTAATACAAAGTGGAAAAAATACCACTCTGCCATTAAAGAGCTCACAGCTCTTTAAAGTGAGCAAGCTGTACGAACAGAAATAGTAAATTATAATACAGAATGATAAGGGCAGAAATGGAGGCATATTACAAAATTTAGGAAAGTTCTTCATGGGAGACAGCTAAAGAAAATCAGAGTAAACATTATGGTTCGGTTTTGAAGTATATATAAGAGTTTCTCAGAGAAACAGCATTGGAGGCAAAGAGGAAAATAATAAAAATTGTTGCAATTAAATAACTTCTAACTCTGTGTGTCCATACTTCAGGGGTCAGACTAGCACTGTTCTCTATAAGATGTTTAATGAAGGATTTTTCAGAAACCTAGATCTAGCCTGTTCTTCTAAGGTCCTCTCAGGGGACTTGAAACTCGAGCATTTTGGTTAGCCACTGAACTCGTCAACTAGTTATACCACGCAAAAACTCCAGACTAAGAGAACTGCATGCAAATTGTGTCAAATATTATTTACATTCACACTTTAATTTCACACCATCTTTATCCTCTTCTTTCTTCAATTACTAATTCACAAAACTATATGTTTTAAGAGGAATTAGAGTCTGAGGAGAAAGTAGGTATGTACTCAAGCATACCTTCTCAAAAGAGTTCTCAGTGTGTTTCTGTGTTTATTATAGAAGGACATTCTTTTTAAAAATTAGATGTTGGAAAATGAAATTAGAAAATAATACACTTTCTGAATTAAAAGTAATAGAATCTAGCTTCATGAAACATTACAAGTTTAGCTCCTATTTTACAGACTTTTCGGCCTGCTGCAATGTTAATCGAGCGTTCCACAGACTATGGACATACCTGGAAAGTGTTCAAGTATTTTGCAAAAGACTGTGCCGCTTCCTTTCCCAGCATCACATCAGGTCAGGCCCAGGAAGTGGGAGACCTTGTTTGTGACTCCAGATATTCGGATATTGAACCCTCCACTGGTGGTGAGGTAGCATTTCCTTCCTTCCTCCTTGGATTTCTCTTATTTAAATGAAATTTTAGCAAATCTGGTTAATTAAGAATCTTAACATTTCAATAGCATTTACCAAAAAGCAACTTGAACTGTGTGGGATTTATCGCTTTTGGTTTGTTTTGGTGGGGTTTTTTTAAGAATAAAAAGCATCTAAACTGAAATGAGTTCAGAATTTATTTCAAAACCAAGGAAGTAACACATGCAGCACAGAAAAAGTCCAGCACAGGAGGGCCCAGCTGAAGTGGAGTGGGCTGCAGACCTGAAACGCCATCCCGCAGCCTGTTCACAAAGCTAGAGTACATGGGCCCTGCTCTAGCCTGGGAGAGCATTCAGGCTATAGCAGGAGGCCTGAAGTCTCTGTCTCATCTCCTTGGCCATGACCCAGCCAAACTTTGCCAGCATTACTATTCTGAGCAAAGCTGGCGACCAGCAGAAGGTCAGAGGGAAAATGGATGGAGTTGGAGAGTTCTCTTCTCAGACTGAGCTGAGAGAACTGGTGGCAGAGACAGCTCCACAATTCCCCACCAGGTCCACCTTCATGGTGATCGGCTGAACTGGGAGCCCTCCACTCCAGCCAAGAAATTGTGCTGCTACCTCAAAGACTCCTGGTCTGAATCCACCAGCTGCTCCTCAGAGAAAAACGGACGGTCTCCCCCGTGTAGATTTACTGCCTCAGAAAATCCATAGGAGAGGGAGCTGTGAGTCGTTTCCAACTCTGTGGTTTTAACCACCACCACCACCAACAACAACCACCCCCACTACCACCAACCACCCCCACTCCAGCCCAACCCAGCCTAAGGGCTCTCTCCACCAGTGTTACTACCACTTCTATCCATATGGACCCATTATTCATATGGGTTTAATTAATTTATTAATTCATTCATTCCTTTTCATTCTTGATATTTTGTTTTTTGTGAACTCAAATGATAATCTGCATCTTATACCAACTGCGATGCAATGGTTTGGCCTTCTTACAAGGTCAAGATCTCTTCTTTGAGATCTTATTTGACTATTAAGCTTCTGGGAAGAAGTCTATTCATTGACTTTTATTTGTTTTTACAGGTTGTTTTAAAGATTTTGGATCCTACCTTTGAAATAGAAAATCCATACAGTTCTTATATCCAGGGTATGAGTCACTTTATAATTCCATGTCAATTCCTTTTTAAACACCTCATGGTCTGAGCATGCATTCCTTATTATAGCATCTCTATTGTGCATTATGGGAAGCTCTGGTGGTTTAGTGGTAAGAGGTTGTGCTGCCAATCCAAAGGCAGGTGGTTCAAATCCACCAACTAGAGCATTTAGCATAACATGGGCTGCTGAGAGAACAAACAAGTGTGTCCTAGACAGTATGAAACCAGGTAGCTCCTTGGAAGCAAGGATTTTGGCCCTTTGTCTCACATACTTTAGGCACGTGGCCAGCAGGGACCAGTCCTTGAAGAAGAACATCATGCTTGGGATGATATAGTCACTGGGGTAATGGGGTTATTGGAGGCATGGAGATTGGCTCAGGATAAGGCAGTGTTTAGAGCTATTGTGTGATAGGGTCGTGATGAGTCTAGTTGACTTGATGCATATAACAACAACTTTGTGGGGGGGGGGGAAAGATGAGTAATCTCCTCCCATGCAATTTACAGCTTCTGAAAACCTGATAGAGGTTAAGCTATGAATTTGTACGGACTCAGTATATTACGGGGTTTATCAATCAAGAAGGTTCCTTGAGTACTTTGATTCATTGTTTTTCTTTCTCTAGACCTTGTGACCCTTACAAATCTGAGGATAAACTTTACCAAACTCCACACTCTTGGGGACACTTTGCTTGGAAGGAGGCAAAATGACTCCCTGGATAAATATTACTATGCTCTGTACGAGATGGTTGTCCGGGGAAGCTGTTTTTGTAACGGTCATGCCCGTGAGTGCAGCCCGATGCAGAAGGTGCGAGGAGATGTTTTCAGCCCCCCCGGAATGGTGAGTTATGACTTCAGAAGAGGAGTCAATCGGCTCCTCCTGTTGCCCCGGACTGTTGTAGTGCTGAGTGTAGATTAGAACAGGCAGCTCTGTGTTGAGGCAGGTGGTAAAGAACTTGCCTTCTCCTTGGGTTCTCTAAGCAGACGTTCTGGTGGCTTCTGCCACATACTGAGCACCCAGTAAAGATCTTGGCTCCATCACTGAACAAATGAACAGAAATTCTGATATCAAGACAGCCCAGCATTCCTTCTCTTGCTTTCACTCTGTCTTTTAGGGACGGGAAATCATTTCACTCTCTCTTTTAGGGAAAGGAGAGGACTGTCGTTTCACATGCTTTCTCTCGCAGAAGCTGAGTAAGGCTCTATTGTGTATAAGCCCTGTACTTCATGTCAAGGTGTTTCATTAACACCTGATATAGGGAAATGCTCAATTTAAGGAACATGCTTCTGTTACACGTGACTCTGTCCTCACACTGCAGATGTCTCTTATTCTTGAAGCTCATCTTAAAAGATTGAGGTAGAAGAGTATTTCAATATGGAGCTCTAGGGAGTGTGATTGCTAGTATGTTTAAACTATTAGGCATAATCATACAAGACTTGCTGTAAAGACTCTTCTAACACTCAATTTCCTCTAGGGCTCACTGGAGAAATTTTCTCCCTTGCAGGTGCCCAATTGAAGGTACTTGTGGAAACTCAAGAGAACCTCATACCTGTTCACAAATGGTTTTTCTTTTAACCCCCTTATTTTCCTCGGGGAGCTCTGGTGGTCAAGTAGAGAGAGTCGCACTGCTAATCCAAAGGCCACACCTCTCTAGCAGTTCAAATCTACCAGATGCTTAGAGGGAGAAAGCTTGACAAGCTCCTCTTGCGTGATTTTCAGACTTCGAAACCCAGTGGAAAGCCTGCTATGAGTTGGTTCCAATTCAACAGCAATGAGAACTGGGGTTTTGTTTTCGTTTTCTGTTATGCTCCTAAAGTCACATGCACACACACACACACACACACACACACACACACACACACACACACGTCCTTCCATATCCTGTCCCTCTTTTTAGTGAAAATTGTCATGTCTGCTCTCAACCTAGACTTCAGAAAATAAAAAGATATAAATATTTGCCAAACATCTTAATTTTTTTTTTAAATGTGGAAGGTAGTTAAAAAAAATAAAAAGCAGTCCAGGTTGCTAATGTAATCAACATATAGGATACTAAGACCCTGGTAAGCCCCACATCTCACATTTCATTTTCCACTTAAAGAACCCCAAAGCCCTCTAGGAAAAGCTCCTCTTACCACTTTATTTAATTGCCTGATGCAGGTCCATGGTCAATGTGTCTGCCAGCACAACACGGATGGTCCGAACTGTGAGCAGTGCAAGGACTTCTTCCAAGATGCCCCTTGGAGGCCAGCTGGAGGCCCCCAGGACAGCACCTGCAAACGTAAGTGGCTTTGAGTTCTCAGGGTGGGTTGATGGTGGGTTGAAGTCTTGCTAGTTCTGGAGAAGATTTTGTTCATGTTGGGATACTGCAGGCTGCTATGGTGGAGAATCTCTGGGTCCCAGTTTGACACCGTAACTGGAGTGATGAGGGAAAGTGTGTCAGAGACAGTGAGATTGGCTCAGGATGGAGCAGGGTTCAGAGCTATGTGTATAGAGTCGCTATGAGTTGTCATCAACTCAACGGTATCTTCAACTCAACGGTTGTCATCAACAACAACAATATCTTCAATGAAGGTCCCTGAGTACACAAAAGTTTTGCACTCAAATGTTAACCTAAAAGTGGATGGTTCAAACTCACCCAACAGTACTGTGGAAGAAAAGGCCTGATCTGCTACTGTTAAGATGTTTAAAAAAACATAAAATAAAACTTGTTTTCATCAAGTTTCTTCTGCCTCATGGCCTCCCTATAAGAAGATTCTGTTCATATCATAGTTCTTTATTTTACCTGAGTGATAGTAAAATAAGGCAAATAACAATGCAATTAGGATGACAGAAATTTGCAACTGGGACCCACAGATTCACAACATTTCAGCCAGCAGCCTAGAGACATGACCAGAATCTTCTCCAAAATCAGGAGTCAATTCTGTCTCATGGCCTCCCTCTAGGACAGAGTACAGCTACCTCATAGGATTTTCACCTGTAATCTCTATGAAAATTGCTGTTGTGTGCCATCAAATTGGAACCTCCCCATAGCTGACCCTCCAGTAGGTTTTCAGAGACAGTTAATTGCACACAGGGAGAAATTGCCATTTCTTCTTCCATGGAGCTGCTGGTGGATTTGAACCGTGTGCTTTTGGAATTGCAGCACAGCTTCTTACCACTAGGCCACCAATGTGCCAATCCACTTCCATAAAAAGTAGCTCTCCACATCTTTCTCTCTGACAATCTACTTTCTATGAAAGTAAATTGCCACATCTTTCTCCTGTGGATTCACTGGTGGGTTTGAACTGTCAATTTTTCAGTTGGCAGTTGAACACTTAGTCATTGTGCCTCCGAGGCTTCTCCTGTAACATCACAGCTAGGAAAGATCACAGCCTGAGAAGCCCAAAGAGCAGTTCTGCCCTGGAACACATAGGGCTGCTGTGAATCAAAACGGACTTGGTTACAACCAACTACAGACTCTTCAACCGTTACACATGAAAGAATTTCAAACTTTTAAAACTCTCCTATGAAAAGTCAATTTAAAAAAAAAATTTTTTAAAGCAAAAATAAGGCTCCAGGAATAGATGGTATACCAGTTGACATATTTCAGTTAACAGATGCTGCCCTGGACGTGCTCACCAAGTTGTACCAAGAAATCTAGAGAATAACCACTTGGCCAACTGACTGGAAGAGGTCTATATTTGTTCCCATCCCAAAGAAAGGTGACCCAACAGGATGTGGAAACTACAGAACAATCTCACTGATTTCACATGCAAGCAAGATTTTACTGAAGATTATCCAAAAAT